GCTAAAGGTGAAAGCACGCGCACGACACACTTGCTCGACACGCTTAGCGTGCCGTAGATCACGGATATGAGCATATTAAATTGAAAAAACAAAGACGGACACACTTGCCTTTGTTTTGGCAAATTTAACACGCTAGACCTTTTGTTTTTTTGTAGCGTGCCATATGCCACGGTAAGTGTGCGAATTATAGCACGGTTAGCGTGCAATTTGGGTAAGACACGCTGAACACGCTTGATTACTAAAACCGCTAAGATGGTAAAAATGGCTTGGGTTTTCAGTGGATTTAATCAGCATTGATAACTGGTCAAAGTGAATCAAATGTACCAATTGAGACTGTTTTGGAATTTGATAGTAACCGTGGCCATTTGAAAATCACGACTTAATGGTGGTCTAGCCTGGAATTAACGCGAGATCAGTGTAAACCAATTCCTCCGGCTGTCGGCTGTTGACCGGAATCGCAAAGAGGCCTGCTATCGCATGCGAGGCACTGAAGTTATGTCGCCTGAAAATTATAGTTATGCCACCGGAATGTTTATTAGCAGTAATGGACAGAGAAATGAAGTTGAATAAATTAGTTTAATATATTTCTTTAAGGTGGCTCCGTAATTAATACAAGAGCATTTAGCTGGGACAAAGTTTCCGTCATAACTTTTTCGATTTTAACGCGATGGCTGCGAAACTTTGCAAAGAACAACAGATATCATTCGGCAATAATACGAAATATTCCGATTTCATTGATGGGAAATATTTCTTGAGAAATTAGCGCTTAGAAGGACCCTAATGTTCAAAGAAAATCGCGTCTAGTAAAACATTTTGCTGATATTTTTTACTGAAATTTCTGGTATCGGCTTTAATTGATATGATAAATATGCCAGAGGAATTTCAGAAAAATCGTTGGAGCAGAAGTCCGTAACTAAAAGTCGCTCAAAATTCAGCTGTGAAATTGTTTTGGAATTTCAAAAATAAATTACTATCAGGTAGAAGGAGCCACCAGTATGAATTTTCGGGACAAGTAAATTCAACGTTTGCTAGTTCTTAAAACAAAAGCCGATTGCCTATCGTGCTATTCTTTAAAAGGTACTTTTTAGTTTTAGAAGCACTATAAACTGCTCCAAACCTTGCTCTCAAGTAGAATTACTTGTTCTTCGACAGTTTTAAAGTATCCCTTGGCAGTTTTGGCTCAAACTACTGCTGCATTCATTTTGATGTATTGCAATGCATTTTCAACGACTTTTACTGCTATTCGTTGCTTCCAACTCAGGAAAAAAGTATTGAGATTGGACGCTACCTCGTATGAGACCTAAGATAGAACTGTCCAGCACCTTTGTTTATGACTACAAAATGAGCACGAGCGGCAGTTCTGCGAGGAATTCGCACCTCACCCAGGGGGGACGAACGACAATGATGACCATGTCTGTGAACCGAATAACATCACAGTGCAAAATAAAATTATCGCAAAAATACTGCCCGTGAATAAATTTACAACTGTGAAATTTTTGTCACTCCTTTCTTCAATGAATGGGTATTTTTTCTTGAGTATTATGTTTTGCTCTGCAATACATGTTTACACAGATCGGTTCACAGACATGGGCATCATTGTCATTCGTCCCCCCTGGCTGAGGTGCGAATTCCTCGCAGAGCTGCCGCTCGTGCTCATTTTCTGGTCATAAACAAAGGTGCTCGACAGTTCTATCTGAGCTTCGATGCAAGGTAGCTTACAATCCCAATACCTTTATCCTGAATTGGAAACAACGTACAGCAGGAAAAGCCGTTGAGGATGCATTGCAATAGATCAAAATGTATGTAGCAGGAGTTTGAACCAAAACTGCTAAGGGATATTTTAAAAATGTCGAGGAACAAGCCCATTCGACGTCAGAACAAAGTTTGGAGCAATTTATAGTGCTTCTAAAACTGAAAAGTACCTTTAAAGAATAGCGCGATAGGCAATCATTTCTGTTTTCAGAATTAGCAAACACTGAATTTACTTGTCCCGAAAATTGAAACTGGTGTCTCCTTCTTCCTGATAGTAATTTATTTTGAAAGTTCAAAACAATTTCACAGCTGAATTTTGAGCGACTTTTAGTTACGGACTTCTGCTCCAACGATTTTTCTGATATTCCTCTGGCATATTTATTATATCAATTAAAGCCGATAACAGAAATTTCAGTAAAAAATATCAGCAAAATTCTTTACTAGAAGCGATTTTCTTTGAACATTAGGGTCCTTTTAAGCGCTAATTTCTCAAAAAATATTTCCCATCAATGAAAACGAAATATTTCGTACTATTGCCGAATGATATCTGTTGTTCTTTGCAAAGTTTCGCAGCCATCGCGTTAAAATCGAAAAAGTTATGACGGAAACTTTGTCCCAGCTAAAAGCTCTTGTATTAATTACGGAGCCACCTTAAGCCATGTAGCCTCCCCGCAGACGTCCTTTGGGGTTCGTTTGTCACGCATTCATTTCTCCCCCACGGACGTCTGCTAAACACAGCCGACATTTACGTTCACCAATCACAGGCCGTTTACGTTTTTTTTGTAAAACGTAACCCGAGCCGCTTCTAAGATTCGCACGATCAGTGAGGCTTTTGATCGAGTGTGCGAGAAATTTGTAATTAATACAGAGTTAAACAAGTATCGGAGGGAAGCTATCCTGCAAATTTTATAGCGAAGACCGATGAGTTCATAAATTTGCCGACGGGATTTGGCAAATCCCTTATCTATCAAGCTTTGCTGCTTGTTTGCGACACAGTGCGTGGAACTACTGGACATTATTGTTGTGATTGTTTCTTCCCTGGTAAATCTTAAAAGATCAATCTACAAAGCTGGAAAATATTGGTATTCCTGCTGTAACGCTCAGTGATATTAGCAAAGAGAATATGAGGGTTGTCGAGAGAGGGACTTTCTCTGTTGTTTACGGAAGCCCAGAAGCTTGGTTGAAGATCGATCGGCGGAGGAAATGTTAGCGAGTGACTTGTACAGTTAGTATGTGGTCCTTGGTCGGCGACTTTCCCGAGCATGATTAAATATTTGGTCGAGAAATAAAATACAATGAACAATAAAAGGTTCAATGATTTATTGATTATAAGCATTCTTTCTTTCTTTGAGGGAGCGAGATTAAAGTTTCTTGACAGGTAGGTTAATTTGTCGTTCTAGCTTGAAGTTTGGACTTCGGCGGCACCGTGGTCATGTTTACTAAGCTTGTGAATAAATAAAACGCAACGGGAGGACGTGCCTTTTAGCAGAACAAGTTTTCAGATAAACCTTTTTCTGCCGTTGGAAGCACATTGCTGTAGACTGCTGAATTTTTTGTTTTACCGACTCTTGAAAAAATATAACCAAATTTTGCGTACTGGTCCTTGGTCCGCGACCCCATGACCTTGGTGGAATTACATTTCGCAAAAAAGGAAACGGCCTTTGTTTTCGAAGAAAGCTTTGAATATCTTCCGTATACACGTTTACAAGTTCTCTTTTCTTACACTGTAATACTTCGAATATATGCAGAGTTAATAGTAATTATTGGTTTCCACCGCGCTGAAAACTGCTCCGCGCTCGTGTGGGAGACTGTTGTCTGAAGTCTTTCAAAGAAAAGCAGATTATTTTATAGTCACAACTTCCGAAAAAAATATACAGCTGACTGCAGCTTTATTGCATCGTTTCTGTGATTTTTTCAAAACGTTTGAGTCGTCTCAGGTAGAAGATAGCGGTGAAAATAAATAATTCACTTGAGAATACAAAGACATCACTTATATCACAGCGCGTGATTGGCTGATCGTGACACAATAACTAACCGCTTATTGGCTTATTCAAACAATCCAGAACGTAAAAGTCGGCTGTGTTTAGCAGACGTCCGTGGGGGAGAAATGAATGCGTGACAAACGAACCCCAAAGGACGTCTGCGGGGAGGCTATAAGCCATGCTGAGACGAACGAAGGTAATTAAATCGGAGAGACAAAAACTGCCTAGAATTTTCTATATGTTGAAAAAGGCTAAACATTTCTAGATGACCGTTCCATGCATGTACAATTTTTGAAGGTTATCTAATAAATTCCTTACGATTTTCTGAAGTTTAATTTTTTCCATTTCATTCCCCAGTTAAGCTATTTTTCGTAGAGAATTAAGGAATCCTTAAATTTTCGGAACCGAAAATACGATAAAATTCTCACTTTCCTAAAACTTTCAATTGGAAGCTAAATTTTTCGGGAAAATAATGCTGAAGCCCTTGTAATTCCGAAAAGACTGAAGTTGTCCTAGGATGCTAGGATGCATTTACGAGGAAATCGTCGTCAGGTGCCCCTGACGAACGAAGCGCTATCAATCATAATTTATGTGAAGATATCTCGTTACGCTATGCTAAGACTAATTAAACGCAGTAAACGTGTACTATATCTCGTTCTTCACAGGACGAAAAAAACAAGAATCTGTAAACTAAAAACACTGTAGAATGAGGGAGGATTGCGGGCGACTTTTCTTTGAATTTTGGGTGACAAAACTCATATTATCAGGTTTTGGACGACATAACTTCAAACGACATCACTTTCGAGTAACTTGATCGTCACCCCTTTAGATCGAGCTCGATGAATTAATTCAATGACCGAACTTTATGGAACAAATGATTGCCTTCAAGAATTTCACGCGGACTACTTTTAATTTAGTTCTTTTTCTCTTTTCTCAGTGTGTGACTGACAGAGATTTAATTTTCGGATCGAACTTTAGTACTCTAAACAAGCCGTATTATCGTGGCAAAAACAAAGAATCAAACAAAAAAGCACCATACAATTTCGGAATTCTGTTAAATTTTTTGTTTACTATTCAAAAAGCGGTGAAACAGTCATTAATTAGCTGATGTTTGTCTCCGTTGCACGCATCACTGACGCATGAATGTGTTATCAATCGTTTCTTGAGAACAGAAACAGTTAATCAGTTACGATGGAGCGTTCACGAAATGGCACACTGATGAGTTTAAATTCGCAAGATTTTGAAAATTTGGAAAGCGTCGAATAACTGTATTTTGGTGAGCGAGAAACTGAAGATAATCAAGAGCCAGAAAATTTCTTTCTAGAAGAGAGCAGCTCAGAAAGTGAAAATGAGAATGATGAAGCTAACTCATGTATCGAGATAGGAGAAGCTGAGTTATCAGAGAAAGAAAAGATTGAAAAATTCATTGCGGATACTTGCAAGAGTAAATTAGCAGAACAAGGAGAGGCTTGCAGCACTATCCTCTCAAGAGATGACTTTTACGACAGTCGGAACAACTACCAGGAGTTGTCTTCAGCAGAGCTCGATCTTGTTATCCTTGGAGTAATTCAAAGTTACTTGAACTGTGGCGACGTCAGCTTTTCAGGAAGAACAGAAAAACAGCGCGAGCGGACAAGAATGGTCTTCTTTTACCACGGTAGAAGGATCTGTAAAGAAACATTTTTATTTTTACATTCAGTAAGCCGAACAAGGTTCTGTAGCCTTCTGAAACATTATAAGACAAATGGACTCACATTGCGAGTTCACGGAAACAGTAAGCGTTTACCAAGTAGCACGTCTTCTGTCGAAACTGTGGAGAACGTTGTTAAATTCATTATGAACATTGCTGAGGAGCAAGCACTTATCCTCCCTGGACGTTTTCCCGGGTTTAAAAGAGTGGATGTGAAACTTCTGCCATCTGTTTTAACAAAATACAGCTTGTGGAAAACATACGAAGGGATATGTGCGAGTCAAGGTCACATCTCAGTCAGCTACTCTAAGTTTTGTGACTTTTGGAATCAACTTTGCCCGTTTGTTTTGATCATGCGCCCGGCTACGGACCTGTGCTGGACATGTCAGAAAAATAACAATTTGATTCAAAAGACGGCAAATCTTCTGGAGGAACAAAAGGTAGCGGCTGTAAGAGCACAGGAAGAACATCTTCCACTATCAGCGGGTGAAAGAGAACTGTACAAGAACTGTTGTAATCAGGCGAAAGACGACGTTCAAAAACACTTTCGGGAGATTAACTTAAACGTCCGGCGCGAACCATGCACATACAATGGCACTGTACACTATTCTTATGACTACACACAACAGTTACACTACCCGTGTAACCCAAATCAGTCTGGCCCTATCTATTTTAAAACTCCTCGAAAGTGTGGGATCTTTGGCGTCTGCTGCGAAGCCATTCCGAGGCAAGTGAACTTTTTAATAGACGAGAGCGTTTTGACTAGTAAAGCGGCGAATAGTACTATTTCGTATGTGCACTATTTTTTTGAAAAGCACGGCCTCGGAGAAAAGAATGCCTAACTTCACGCGGACAACTGTGGAGCACAGAACAAAAACTCTGCTTTTCTCTGGTATTACATGTGGCGAGTCATGACCGGTCTTCATGTAGAAACACACTATCACTTCTTATTAGCCGGCCACACAAAATTTGCGCCCGATTGGTGCTTTGGATTATTGAAACAAAGAACAAGGCGAACATTTATTTCTTCACTCTTTGACATAGGTACATGTGTAGAGGAATCTGCATCAGTAAATGTGGCAGAACTCGTAGGTCTCCACGATGGAACGGTGCTTGTTTCCACCTATGACTGGACGAACTGTCTTTCACAGTTTTTTAAGAAACTCCCTAAGATCAAATCATATCATCATTTTCGTTTCCACAAAGACTTTCCGGGAACTATTTTCTGCAAGAAGTACTGGAACTCTGAAGAATTAGCAATAAACATTTTAAGAAACAATGCAAAATTCCCTGGAGGTGGACAGCTTCCACCCATAATCACTCCAAGCGGGATCAGCCGAGAACGTGCTCAGTACCTGTTTAAGGAAATAAGAGAATTCTGTCGGGACGGAACAGAAAATTTAGTGGCCCCACCAGTCCTAGAATAA